CCGAGCGAGGCGCCCCCCGCCTGCCTTCGCCACCCCAGCAGCGCGGCCGCCCAGCCCGGCTTGGTCCTCGGGAGAGGCGCCGCCTCCTCCGCCGCGAAGCCAGGCTGGGGGCTGGAGGGAGGCGACAGACCACCGCCTCCCGGCGCGGACTTCGCAGGCTGGAGGGTGGGGTGCAGGCCAATGAGCGCCCGGGGGCGGGGTTAGCAGAGGCGCGGGGGGAGAAGAGTGCAGGGGCACCCTGCCTGGAGTGTGCTGGAGACGTGGGGCTGCCCCCGACTCCCCTCCAGCTTGGTGTCCAGGATTTCGGGCCTGAGTCGAGCCTTTCCCTGGGTTCGCAGTCTTCCTTTCTGCACACTTCACACGCACGCCACCCGGAGCTAGAAAGCTCTCTTCTCTCTCTTGTCCTGGGACCTGTTCTTACCCACCTTGGGAAACCTTCCATCTGGGCAAATCCCAGGCGTTCCTGCTTTGCCCCCTCGGCCAGGCCTAGGAAGGTCAGCTAATATGGGGTGACTGATTTGAAGTCCTCAAATGTGATGTCCTGCAGAATGTCTTCATAGCCAGCATAGGGTTGGCGGTGCTTGCTTAGAGGGCAGGGTATCTGTAAATGAATCTGATAGCTTTCATGCCTCAGCTTCCCCACCTGCACAAGGGAAGGTAGGGTACCTATCCCCATGGTCTTGACAACAGCCTTACATAAGAAAGGTGCATGCACTCTGTAATAGGGTTTTACGAGCTTCATTTATTTGGTGACGTAAAATAAATCACTACTGCCTCTCTTCTTGTGGTCCAGCTCAACCGTTCTAGGACAAAGAGATGGACTGAGGCTTAATGACACAAACTAAAGAAGTCAAGATCTCACTGTCAGTTGTGATGGTGCCAAAACCGAGCTGAGAGCAGTTAGTTACCTACTCCTGGGCAAGTACTTAAACCCTCAACCCACCCACCCCTCTGGTGTCTGCCCCTGCTCCCAGCTTCTGGTTACTGCCCAAGGCCCATGTCTAGAGAGCCCCTCCACACCCCTGTCCTTGGTTCTGCATCCAGCTCTGTCCTTGCCCATTCAAGCAAGTTCTTAACCAACCCCTATGGGCCCAGGTCCTGGGGTGGCCTCCTAGGGAGGAGTTCCAGTGCAGGAAGAGGGAGGAAGGAGAGAGATTTGAGAAAGGGAAAGTCTCCCCTTCCCTGGGGACTCCAGTGGAACTGAGGAGGATGGGGAGAAAAGGGGCTTTGGAAACTTAGGAACAGCAGTCTGAGGTCCCAGAGAGACGTATGGAGCACCCTAGGGCCTGGAGCAAGTTCTTACTTTGTCCTTATTCCCCCAAAAGTCACTGTCCCCACCACCATGCCATACTGCATGGCTCCAGCTCCTTTCAGTCCAAGAAAGCTTCCTGGAGGAGGAGCCAGGTCAGCCTCCTCTGTATCATCAAAAATTGGGACCCCCTCCAGAGAGAAGAGGGTCAGGTGCTGTGCTGGAACCACACAGCCAGGACCTCCCTCTGGGGCCCATTGCACCGCTTCTTAGCTTGTTGCCCCAGCTTCTGGGAGTTGGCTTCCTTCTTTGGCCTCCAGCCCGGATGCTGGGAAGATCAAATGAGATGCCGTGTGTGAAAGTGCTCTGTAAACTGAACCGGGCAAAGGAAAGCAAGGTTGCCAGCAGTCTCTGAATCAGGAGGGAGGCAGGGAGCACAGGATGTAGTTCCAGCCAGGGAGCGTGTGTGTGGAAGGCTGGTGATGGGGTCACCTCAGACGGGCCAGCTCCCCTCTGGAGATGTGGATGGTCACCCTCCCTGGATGACTGGAGTTCTGCATCCAGTTCCTGATTTCTCCCTGTTCCATACTCTAGAACTGCTCTGGTTCCAGATGCCGTACTCTCTACTCTGTGTTCCCAGGTGCACGTCTTGGTGTGAGGTGTGAGCACACAGGTGTGGTCCGTGCCTCAGTTCATCTTCCTCATTCCCTGGAAGGCCAGACGTGAGGGGAGGTGCCCAGACATCCTTCAATCACACTCGTTGCCTTTACCTGTTTTCCTTTGCTTGCGGGCCTAAGGCCAGAAGGTGGGTCCCTAAATGACCATGGCTGGGTGTCATTCAGGGCTCCAGTACTATTTGTGCCCTGTCCAAAGGTACCTGCAAGGGACTAATGAAGGTTGGAATTCATTGCTCATCAAGCCAATCATATCCCAAGTCCACCTAAAGGGATACTGGTTTTTAGTTGATCCACCTGAAAGATACCTCTCAAATTCTCTCCAAAGTGTTGAATAACCTAGCAACCTTGTAGCTTAGGATTCTAAGCCAACCTCATCTAGCACCAGGCATGGAGAAACACATTACTGCTGGAACCCAGGAAGGTTGTCCAGCTCCTCTCTTACGAACAGAGTGCCTGAGTCCAGAAGGCAACAGGTCTATTGAGGGGGACACACAGGTGGCTTTCTTACCAGATTGGGCATTGCATTCTGAAGCCCAGCTAAGTATTGTCCTCCCTTTTCAGCTGTTCTATCATTCTGAGAGTCCAGGCAGGGCTTTTAGGTCCTGTGCTGGTTTCTGTCTCAAGCATTTAACGTTAGTCTACACAGACAATCTTGGCATTTCAGGAGCAGGAATTCTGCCAGTTCTGTTTCCCTAGACTGGGTTTTCCCAAGACAAGGTCAGGGTCTCCCTCTTTTCTGTCCACCCCATGCATTCACCCAAAAACTAACTTCATCTGAAGTTCTAACCTTGACCTTCAGAGCTGGCCAGCCCACCATCCCTAACCTACCTGCCAGGCTTTGGAAAAAAGCTCTGGCAGTCAAGAGACCATTTCTGGGAATGGTCTTCTTCAAGAGGCCCCCCTGGTCTTTCTCTTTCCCCCAGGAAGAGGCCTGGGGTTCTCCTCACCTGTTTCTCCTACCCCAAGGTGCTCACAGCCTCATACCCCCTCCATAAGCCAGCCAGCCAGCCAGGCGGGCAACAGCTGAAAAATATGGGTTTTAATTTAATTTTCTGAGATGTGGCTGAGGGAGATGGATGCCAGGCCACTCTACCCAGCATTCATCTCTCCTGAGCAGCAGTTGCCTCCTGACTCTCCGCCCCTAGTCCAGCCCAGCCCTGGTGCTGCTCAGGCAGGACCAGCCTGTGGGAAGACAAGTAGCAGACAGCTGACATATACAGTACTCACCATGCCAGGGCCAAGGCTTCTCAATCCTCTCAGTGCCATGGAGCTCCCCAGGGAGCTTTAAAAACTACCCCTGCCCAGTCTTACCACAGAGATAATTGGACAGTTGGTCTGTGGAGAGGCCTGAGCAAAAGTATTTTGTAAAGCTCCCCAGGGGGTTCTAATGTGCAGCCTGAGCTTAAGAACTGCTGTCACCGGCTTCCTCTCTGTGCTGTGCATGCGAGTATCCCAAGGAGATGGGCTTGTATGTCCAGAGCAGTGACCAGGTGGACCCTGGTGCTTAGGGCCTTGAGACCCTCTGAGAAACCAAGAGAATGCAGGTTAGACCTCTGCCTAGACTCATGGTTTTCAGACTGTGCCAGGAGCTCTAGCAATCCCTCACACTGCCTCTGAAGATGCCTGGCGTAGAGCGAGAAGGGAGAGTCATCTCTGGAGATGCTAAGGCTCCTGAAGACCTAGGCCTGCATGTTCTCTGTCCCCCACTTGGCAATGGATAGGAATGGGCAAGGGGTGGACTGGCAGGAAGGGAATGGATAGGAATGGGCAAGGTGGGACTGGCAGGAAGGGTTTGGAATCCTCAATTCTAGGCACAAACCTGGTCACGGAGCACCCATTTCACAATGAAGAAAATGAGGCTCAGAGACTGGAGATGAAGTGTTTGGTTACAAAATAATTCCTGGCAGAGCAGGGGCCACATACCAGCTCTTAGGGATCTGAGCCCTGTGTTCTCCTTCCAGAGCTATAACTCCTGAAAGGGAAGGCACACTTCTGGGAGCTGGGAGTGGAGAGCGAAAGAAGTGCTTCATTGAAGCCCAGAGTCCAGAGACAACATCCCTCATGTCTCCCCCTGTGAATTTAAATATTCAAGTGTACCCTCATGCATATGCCCACATGTATGTATCTCTGTCTCTACCTTGCATGTCCTCTGCATATGTGTACAGTCCCGTGCAATATGCATGATCAGAAGTGCATTCGCAGAGACCTGAGTGTGCACCTAGACACAGAGGCATGCACACAGGTGCCATGCATAGTTCTGACAGTACACCATCTCTGCCAGAATAGAGATGTTTTCTGTACTGCAGGAACTCAGGCAGGCAGCAGGCCTGTCTGCCGAGCATCGCTTCATCACTGCCAGGGGATTCTTGTCAGATAGTGAGTGACATTTCTCATGCACCTTCTGTAGTTCCTCTCTGGGGACTTAGCTGTTTACTCGCGGGAGCTGAATGTACAGAGGAGCCCCTGGTTGAAAGAGAAAGCAATATTTCCATTCTCATCTCCACCTCCTCTTTCTCCACAGCACTTTCTTTTCTTACCTCTACCCCCATCCCTCCTCCATCTCTGCACACCCTGGAGTTGGTACCTAGGATTCATCTGCAGCAGAAAGGACCCCTCCTACAACAGAACACATCCCATGTGTTTAAGAGCTCTTTGGCACATGCCTCGCCCTGTGCTAGGGCAGGTTCTCTGCCCCATTCTGGCTCTAGGGTGGATGCCTGCAATGGATAGGAGTGGGCAAGAGGTGGACTGTTGGGAGGAGGGGCTGGTAGGACTGGCAGGAAGGGATTTGGAATCCTCAATTCTAGGCACAAACCTGGTCACGGAGCACCCCATTTCACTTCCCCCTCCACACAGCCCCCTGCCCCCCTCACAGGTACAGGTGACACAGTCAAAGCCAGACCCCACTTGCTGTTTCTGCAGCTTCCTGGAGTTTGGCTTGACTGCTTTGAAAATGACAGTGCGCCCCAGCCCCACACAGCCCTGGCTTTAACACAGGGCCTCGGCAAGCAGGAGGTGTCGAAATTACAGATAATTCGTGTGGGAGGAGGCAGCCTGTATGAGGCATGGATACAGCCATTCCCAGAAAAGCAGCTTGGGATAATACGGGGCCTATGACAGGCTGAGCCCTGAATCGGTATTGTGCAAATGACGATGGTAATTATATTAAAAGTAGGGCAAAGAGAATGTTCTTTGATG